TTTTTTTTTGCTTTCCATTTGTTTGGTAAATCTTCCTCCATCCCTTTGTTTTGAGCCTATGTGTGTCTTTGCACGTGAGGTGAGTCTCCTGAATGCAGCACACTGATGTGTCGTGACTCTTTATCCAATATGCCAGTCTGCGTCTTTTAATTGGGGCATTTAGCCCACTTACATCTAAGGTTAATATTGCTATGTGTGAGTTTGATCTTGTCATCATGATGCCAGCCAGCTTGTTATTTTGTACACCAGTTGATGCAGTTTCCTCACAGTGTTGTTAGTCTTTACATTTTATTATGTTTTTGCAGTGGCTGGTACCGGTTTTTCCTTCTTATATTTGTTGTTTTCAGGAGCTCTTGTAAGGCAGTCCTGGTGGTGACAAAATCCTTTTGCATTTGCTTGTCAGTAAAGGATTTTATTTCTCTTTAGCTTATGAAGCTTTGTTTGGCTGGATATGAAATTCTGGGTTGAAAATTCTTTCCTTTAAGAATGTTGAATATTGTCCCCCACTCTCTTCTGGCTTGTAGGGTTTCTGCAGAGAGATCTGCTATTAGTCTGATGGGCTTCCCTTTGTGGACAACGATCTTTCTTTCTGGCTGCTCTTAACATTTTTTCCTTCATTTCAACCTTGGTAAATCTGATGATTATGTGTCTTGAGTTTGCTCTTCTTGAGGAATATCTTAGTTGTGTTCTCTGTATTTCCTGAATTTTAATGTTGGCCTGTCTTGCTATGTAATGTCCTTCTGTCTTGCTGAATTTTAATGTTGGGGAAGTTCTTCTGGATAATATCCTGAAGTGTGTTTTCCAAATTGATTCCACTCTTGTCACTTTTAGGTACACCATCAATCATAGGTTTTGTCTTTTCACATAGTCCCATATTTCTTGGAGGATTTGTTTGTTCCTTTTCATTCTTTTTTCTCTAATCTTGTCCTCACACTTTACTTCATTAAGTCGACCTTCAATCTCTGATATCCTTTTTGCTGCTTGATTGATTCAGCTATTGATACTTGTGTATGCTTTACAAAGTTCTCATGCTGTGTTTTTCAGCTCCATCAGGTTATTTATGATTTTCTCTAAACGAATTATTCTAGTTAGCAGTTCCTATAACCATTTATCAAAGTTCTTAGCTTCCTTGCTTTGGGTTAGAATATGTTCCTTTAGCTTGAATGAGTTTGAAACCTACTTCTGTCAATTCATCAAACTTACTCACTGTCCAGTTTTGTTATCTTGCTGGCTAGGAGTTCTGGTTTTTGAAATTTTTAGCATTTTTGTGCTGTTTTTTCCTCATCTTCTTGGATTTATCTACCTTTGGTCTTTGATGGTGATGACCTTTGGATGGGGTTTCTGTGTGGATGTTCTTTTTGTTGATGGTGATGTTATTGTTTTCTGTTTGTTAGTTTTCCTTTTAACAGTCAGATCCCTCTTCTGGAGGTCTGCTGGAGTTTGCTGGAGGGTCAATCTAGATCCTGTTTGCCTGGGTATCACCAGGAGAGGCTACAGAAAAGCAAAGATTGCTGCCTGCTTCTTCCTCTGGAGGCTTCATCCCAGAGAGGCACCCACCAGATGCTAGCCAGAGCTCTCCTGTATGACGTGTCTGTAGAACACTGCTGGAAGGTGTCTCCTAGTCAGGAGCCATGGGGGTCAGGGACCCACCTGAGGAGGCAGTTTGTCCCTTAATAGAGCTCGAGTGCTGTGCTGAGAGATCCATTGCTCTCTTCAGAGCTGACAGGCAGGAATGTTTAAGTCTGCTGAAGTTGTGCCCACAGCCACCCTTTTCCCCAGGTGCTCTGTCCTAGGAAGATGAGAGTTTTATCTATAAGCCCCTGACTGAGGCCACTGCCTTTCTTTTAGAGATGCCTTTCCCAGAGAGAAGAAATCCAGAGAGGCAGTCTATCTGTAGCGGGTTTGCTGCTCTGTGGTGGGCTCTGCCCAGTCCAAAAGTCCAAGTGGCTTTGTTTACACTGTGAGGAGGATATTGCCTACTCAAGCCTCAGTGATGGCAGATGCCCCACTCCCCACCAAGCTCAAGTGTCCCAGGTTGACTTCAGACTGCTGTGCTGGAAATAAGAATTTCCAGCTGGTAGATCTTAGCTTCCTGGGCTCTGTGGGGGTCTGTGGTGGTGGGACCCACTGAGCAAGACTACTTGGCTCCCTGGCCTCAGCCCCCTTTTCAGGGGAGTGAATGGTTCTGTCTGCTGGGGTTCTAGGCACCACCAAGGTACAAAACAAAACAAAAACTCCTGCAGTTAGCTCAGTGACTGCCCAAATGGTCACCCAGTTTTGTGATTGCAACTCAGGGCCCTGGTGTTGCAAGCACCCTAGGGAATCTCCTGGCCTGTGGGTTGCAAACACCATGGGAAAGGTGCAGTATCTGGGCCAGAGTGCCTTATCCTTCACAGCACATTCCCTCATAGTTTCCCTTGGCTAGGTGAGGGAGTGCCTTGACCCCTTGCACTCCCTGCCTCAGACGATGCACTACTCTGCTTCTGCTCACCCTTCATGTGCTGCGCCCACTGTGTAACCAGTCTCAATGAGATGATCTGGGTGCTTCAATTGGAAATGCAGAAATCACCCACCTTCTGTGTTGGTCTCACTGGGAGCTTCAGACTGAGGCTGTTCATATTCAGCTGTCTTGCTCTCTCTGGTCTGGTCATTTTCTTTAAACTGGTTGTTATAGGAGCAGTGATAGCACAACAAATATGCACAGATTTGGAGAAAGTCATCCTGCCTTCAAGTCTAGTTCAAGAAATTATGTTATAATAATTATAATTTGGTACCTGGTTGGTGGTACGAAACCAGGTACAATACACATTTTCCTGGTGTTATGATTTGACATTCAGATTACACCAGTTATTATTCATAACCAGGAGTGATTTCTCATCTCATAAGAGCCAAAGCCAAGAATAGTGGTGCCAATTGATAGTAATGATTCTATGAGTGCCCAGCATTCTGGTCATAGACACTTTCAGAACTATTAAGTTGAAGGGAGAAAGTGGTCATAGAATAGAAGATGGTAAGCCACTAGGGGCTCAGTGACAACTATCTGGAGAGACAGTCATTGCTCTGGATTCCACGTGAAGAGAACATTTCTCCTGATTATATGAGATGTAGGTCAGAAAAGCCTGTGTAGTGAAGTATTGCTGCCTTCAAAGTGTAGAAAACCTCACTAAATCTCCTTAGTGGATGGACGCTCGCTGTACAACTTATTTCATATTTATGAGACTATTTAGACATATACCAGGCCTTTTCACCTCGAGAAACCTTTTTCGAATAAGGTGTCTATATCCTGCCCCTCATTTTACCAGGTCATCTAGAGCAGCAGTCTGCAACCTTTTTGGCACAAGGGACTAGTTTTGTGAAAGACCGTGTTTTCTTGGACTGGGGTCAAGGAATGGTTTTGAAATGATTTAAGTGGATTACCTTTATTGTGTACTTTATTTACATTATTGTTACATCATGCAATAATATATAATGAAATAATTATACTATTCACCATAATGTAGAATCAGTGAGCACCCTGAGCTTGTTTTCCTAAAATTAGATGGTCTTATCTGTGAGTGACGGGAGACAGTGACAGATTATCAGGTTCTCATAAGAAACACACAAAGCTCACATGAGCAGTTCCCAGTAGGGTTTGCAATCCTATGAGAATCTAATGCCACTGCTGATCTGACAGGAGGTGGAGCTCAGGAGGTAACATGAGTGATGGGGAGTGGCTGTAAATACAGAGGAAGCTTTACTCATTCACTCACCGTTTATCTCCTGCTGTGCAGCCTAGTTCCTCACTTGTCATGGACCCATACTGATCCATGGCCTGGAGGTTGGGGACCCTTGATCTAGAGCACTTAGAGAACTATCTGTTCTCCAAAGCTAATCAAATGCTATCATTAATGTATCTAATATTTTAAGAAAGGGTAACACTGTTGAGAGCCAAATAGATACATGGCCCAGAGCAAGCTTAAGGCACTAATAACTCCTTTTTGAGCTCACCCCCTACTAAAGGCATAAGTTTGAATCTCAGTTTTGCCATTTACTGTGTAATGTATGCAATTATTTTCAGCATCATATTTCTCATTTAAAAAATGAAAATAATACATTTAATACTTAACAGGAGTGTCAGAAAGTATATTAGCACGTGGTAATTTATACTATGTAATATAAAAGTAAGAAATTTTTATTTCCAGCAATTAGAACTAACTGCCATCAAAAGCCACCAGTATGTCTTCAAGCTGCATGCCCAGAAAGCTGGATTGGTTTTCAAAGAAAATGTTTCTACTTTTCTGATGACACCAAGAACTGGACATCAAGTCAGAGGTTTTGTGACTCCCAAGATGCTAACCTTGCTCTGGTTGAAAACTTCCAGGAACTGGTAAGAAAATAGTTCTGGCAACAATCAAATATTCAGTCCTACAAGAATATGTTTTCCTATTAAATTATCTAAGAGGTAGGTTTAGACACCTTCTTATACATTGATTTTTTTTAGCATAAGAAAAGAGTAACCCAGCATGTATTACATATTACTGTGAACTGTCTAAAATTACCTTAACATTCATGGCAGTAACAGGCCCAGAGGGCAAGCAAGCCAGAGCCTTATTTGACTTGTGAGCCAGAACTGTGCTAATAAAGATTGGAAAAGTATTGGTAAAAACACAATTTTAAGTTTGTATGATGTTAGTAACATTGTTTTAAAATAAATCAAGCAAGGCTGGGCACAGTGGCACCTGCCTATAATCCCAGCACTTTGTGAGGCCAAGGAGGGTGTATCATTTGAGATCAGGAGTTCAAGACCAGCCTGGCCAACATGGTGAAACCCCATCTTAAATAAAAATTATAAAAATTAGCTGGGCATGGTGGTAAACACCTGTAATCCCAGCTACTTGGGAGGCTGAGGCAGGAGAATTGCTTGAACCTAGGAGATGGAGACTGCAGTGAGCTGAGATCATGCCACTGCACTCCAGCCTGGGGGGCAGAGTGAGACTCTGTCTCAAAATAAAGTAAAATAAAATTACCTAGCAAGAATGATGTCAGAGAGGATGGTGGAGTAAAAAGCTACAAGAATGTGTTCTTCCTGAATCTAGTTAAACACTGGCAGCATCAAGGGAAGAGTTTAATGATGAAGATGATAAATTTTGGTTAATGTCAGTGAATTTCAGGCTTTTCACTCAATAATAATCATTTCCCACAACCTATTATTGCAGGGAGCCATGGGAACTGCTGCCCATGGCCCTGGAATGAATTCCTGCAGCCAGTGTGGAAAATAAGAACTTTTTCTCCAAATATCAGGGTTATTGCTGATTTCTGCCTTTGGATGCTGAGGGGCAGACGCAGAAGTGGGCTATCATTGCTTCAATCCTCATCAGCTGAAGTAAAGAAATAGTTTGTGTTTTTTCTCCATTTGGGAAGCAGCCATTTAAGACTATTGTTGTTAGATAACTGGATGACTGCAGAGATAACAGAACAGAGATTTCAATGACAATAAACAACAGAGAATACACACTTTGTAAAAAATAGTTTGGGAAAATCATGAACAAATGACTCTGAACTACAACAACCAAGATTCGACAATCCCTGAAAAGCAAAAGGATTAAGTTACCAGAGTTAGCACAACATAGTACTCATAATGTCAAGTTCTCAAAAAAATAAATTACAAAACATGCAAAGAAAAGTATGGTTCACTCACAGAAAAAATAATCTGACAGAAACTATCCCTGGAGAGGCCCAGATATTAAAAATATGGGTAAAAAATGTTAAATCAGCTGTCTTAAGTATATCCAATGAGCTAAAGAAAACAAGTAAAAAGCTAAAGGAAACCCAAAACATAATAAATGAACAAAATTAGAATATCAATATGAAGGTTGAAATTGTAAAAAAAAAAAAAAAAAAGAACCAAGCAAAAATTACAGAGCTGAAAAGTACAACGAGTGAAATATAAAAAGAGTAAAGAAAAACTCACTGGACAAGTTCAACAGCAGATTTGAGAAGAAAGAGATCAGAAAACTTGAAAATAAGACAGTTGAAACAATCAAAACTAATAAAAACAAAGAGAAAAAATGAAGATAAATAAACAGATTCTAAGAAATTAGTAGGACATCATCAAACATATCAACATAATGCAATGTAGAAATCAAGAAAGAGAAGAGAAAGAGAAGCAGAAAAATACGTTTAAAGAAATAATAAACAAAACTTTCCAAATCTGATGAAATACATAAATATATACATACAAGAGGCTCAATGAACTCCAAAAGGATAAACTTAAAGAGAACTACATTGAGACAAATTATAGTCAAGTTAACAAAATCGAAAGAGATAATTTTGAAAGCAGCAAGAGTGAAGCAACTCAACATTTTCATAAGATGAATAAGGTTAACAGCTGATTTTCTCTGAGAAATCATGGAGATCCGAAGGCAATGAAATGGCATATTTAAGTGTCTGAAAGAAAAAATAAATAAAACTGCCAACCACAAATTCTATATATAGCAAAGTTGTCCTTCAAGAATAAAGGAAAAAGTAATACATTTTCAGATAACTAATAATTAAGGGATGATATTACCAGTAGACCTATGCTACAAAACTTGCTAAAGGGAACATTTTAGGTTGAAAGTAAAGGACACTAGACAGCAATTCAGAGCTCAACAAATAAAGAATATTTATAAAGGTAACAATAGAGGTAAATATAAAACCCAGAATTACTATATGTGTTGAATAGTTTATAACTTCTCTTATTTATAACTATCTATATTTATATTTATTTTTCTATAATTTCATAGGCAATTGCATAAAAATTATAAATCTATGATGGTGGTCACATAATGTATAAAGATGAAATCTGTGACAATCTTATAAAGCAGGAGGGATGAAGACATATGGGATCAAAATGTTTGCATAGTTATTGAAGCTATGTTGATATTATAAAATTATATCATTACAAGTTTAAAATGTTAATTATAATCCTCAAGGTAACCACTAATAAAATTACTAAAAATATACAGAAAAGGAAAAAAATACATTGTAAGAAATCAACTAAATTAAAAAGATGGCAGTAACAGACAACTTGAGAAACAAAGATGTAAAAGATAAGAGAAAACAAACAGTCCAATGGCAAAAGTAAATTTTGTTTTAGTAATTACATTAAATAAAAAAGGATGAATTTATCCTATTAAAGGACAGAGATTGACAAGTTGGCTAAAAAACAAACCAAATTAAAAAGGAAAACAGGACTCATCTATCTGCTGTCTACAAGAGACTCACCTTTGATACAAGAAAATTGAAAGTAAAAAGACTGAAAAAGGTATTCCTTACAAATGTAACCAAAATCGTGCTGAGTTTTGTCAGACAAAATAAACTCAAGTAAAAAATTTTACAAGAGACAAAGAAAGGCATTATGCATTAAAAAAAGTTTGATATAGCAAAGCAGTTATTAGTTATAAAATATATGTACTTAATATAGCTTGAAAATATATGAAGCAATAATTGCTATAATTTAAGGGAGAAGCCAAGAGTTCTATGAAAAGTTGGAAAATGAAATAGTCCACTTCCAATAGGAGATTAAACAACTAGACAGAAGATCAATAAGGAAATAGAAAATTTGAACAATACTATAAACGAATTTCTAACAGGCATCTACAGAATAATCTACCAAACAAGAGCAGAATATTGATTCTTCTCAATGGCACATGGAACATTCCCCAAAATAGACCATATGTAAGGCCACAAAACAAGTGTTAATAAATTTGAAAAGTTTGAAGTCATAAAAAGTATCTTTTGTAATTACAATGGAATGAAGCTAGAAATCCATAACAAGAAAAACTGGAAAATTCACACATACGTAGAAATTTAAAAAACTCACTCTTAAACAGCCAGACGTCAAAGAATAAATCACAAGGGAAATTAGAAAATACCTTGAGACAATTGAACAAAAAAATACAAAAAGCATGTTTATGGTATGCACTGAAAATAGTTCTAAGAGGGAAATTTATAGCTGTGAACGCATAACGAAAAAAGAAGAAAGATCTCATATCTATTGGCTAACTGTACACTGTAAGGAACTAAAAAAGTAAAGCAAAAACAAGTCATCTTTATGATTTGAAAGAATAAAAGATTCACCTAAGAAGCCTCTAAATTTACTAGTCATAAAGAAAAATGTTTATATATTTAATTGCATTAAAATTCAGAATCACGAGGGCTGACGGTGCTGCCAACGGCTCTCTTGGCGTCTCGACGTTTTGGTCAGCAGCTTTTTTCCCATTCTCTCCCTCCACTTCTTGAGTGAGCAGCCATGAGTTGGACCGTGCCTGCTGTGCGGGCCACCCAGAGAGTGAGCTCGGCGGGGGGTGAATTTCCTGCGCCTGGGGATGGCCCTGTGTCCCCGTCAGGCCGCGCGCCTGCCGCTCAAGGGCACCTGGCTCTTCACCCCGAGAGCAAGACGGCGACTGCGAAGAGTGAGCTTATGCAGAGCTTCACTTCCGAGAAGCCGGTTCATCACAGTGAGGTCTCCATCAGAGGAACTGGGTCGGTGGGCATGGCCTGCGCTATCAGCGTCTTACTAAAAGGCGTGACGGATGAACTTGCCCTTGTGGATCTTAATGAAGGGAAACTGAAGGGTGAGACAATGGATCTTCAACATGGCAGCCCTTCCATGAAAATGCCAAATATTGTTTGTAGCAGAGGGTACCGTGTCACAGCAAACTCCAACCTAGTGATTATCACAGCAGGTGCACGCCAAGAAAAGGGAGAGATGCGCCTTAATTTAGTCCAGCGAAATGTGGGCATCTTCAAGTTAACGATTTCCACTATTGTCCGGTACAGCCCCCTCTGCAAACTGATTATTGTTTCCAATCCAGCGGATATCTTAAGTTATGTAGCCTGGAAATTGACCGCATTTCCCAAAAATCGTGTTATTGGAAGCGGCTGTAATCTGGAGGCTGTTCTTTTTCGTTTCTTGATTGGACAAAAGCTTGATCCGCTCTGAAAGCTGCCACAGGTGGATCCTCGGAGAGCACGGAGACTCAAGCGTTCCTGTGTGGAGTGGAGTGAACATAGCTGGTGTCCCTTCAAGGATCTGAACTCTGATATAGGAACTGATAAAGATCCCGAGCAATGGAAAAACGTCCACAAAGAAGTGATTGCTAGTGCCTATGAGATTATTAAAATGAAAGGTTATACTTCTTGGGCTATTGGCCTATCTGTAGCTGACTTAACAGGAAGTATTTTGAAGAATCTTAGGAAAACACATCCAGTTGCCACCATAATTAAAGGCCTCTGTGGAACAGATGAAGAAGTGTTCCTCAGTATTCCTTGTATCCTGGGAGAGAATGGTATTACCAACCTTATAAAGATAAAGCTAACCCCTGAAGAGGAGGCCCATCGGAAGAAGAGCGCAAAAACACTTTGGGAAATTCAGAAGGAGCTTAAGCTTTAAAGTTGTCTAAAACTACCATTCTGGCCGGGCATGGTGGCTCACACCTGTAATCCCAGCTCTTAGGGAGGCAGAAGTGGGAGGATAGCTTGAGCCCAGGAGTTCAAGACCTGCCTGGGCAATATAGCAAGATGCTCTTCTCCACAAAAAGGAAAAAAAAAAAAAAGACAAAAAAAAAAAAATAAGCGTAAAACTACCATTCCAATATTGTTGAAGAGATCATAGATACAGAATATTTTTATCAAAATTTTGAAAAAAACTTGAATTCTTAAAAGATGGAAACAGGAAAGTGGGTCGAGTGACTTTCCTATTTATTTAGTCCTCCAGCGCTTTTATTTAGCATCCAGGTGCTGGGTGATACTTATTTACAATTCCTAAAGAAAGTGTTTTTGGTACCTCTGATGTGGCAGCATTTGGCTTGTTATATATATATATGTAGTTGGCATTTGGTTCCCAGAAGTAGGATGTAGGTATTTAATGCGTTTTAGAAATTCTGCTTCTTTTCATTAGATGTATGTTAGTTCATTCTTGCTGGCTTATACCTATGTTCATTTATATGCAGTAAAAAAAAGTAGTACCCTCCTCTACAATGTAAAAAGTATGTACATTAAAAAAAATGCATTAGTATATACAGTCTTTTGTTTTGCCTTTCTCGGTAGTTGATAAGTCCTATTTGTTGAATGACTAGTACAGAAAGGCATATCATTTGCTTCTTGAGAAAACAGATCACAGACCCAAAGGCTTAAAACAGATGACATTAAAATGGATATCGGCCATACTTTCCCAGCGTAATGGTGAATGATGAAGCCTTGGTTCCAGCTGTTGAAGTGCTCATGACTCCCAATCTGCTTTTGAAATTTCTGGATAGTGCGTGTTGACAAGCAAACGTAGCAAAGAAAGCCCGCCTACAAGGCTGGTGTGAGGATAATTTGGTAGTTTGGTGTCATTTCTTTTTTCCTTCTTTCATTTCTTACATTAGTTTGGTGTCATTTCTCTCTCTCTCTCTCTCTCTCTCTCTCTTTCTATTTTTTTTGACAGAATCTCACTTTATTGCCCAGGCTGGAGTGCAGTGGCATGATCTTGGCTCACTACAACTTCTGTCTCCCAGGTTCAAATGATTCTAGTGCCTCAGTCTCCCAAATAGTTGGGATTACAGGTGTGTGCCATCGTGCTCAGATAATTTTTGTTATGTTTTTAGTAAAGAGGGGATTTTACCATGTTGGTCAAGGCTGGTCTCAAACTCCTGGCCTCAGGTGATCTGCCCGCCTTGGCCTCTCGAAGTGCTGGGATTACAGGTGTGAACTACTGTGCCTGGCCAGGTGTCATTTCTTAAAATTGACAAAAAACATATCCTGCAGCCTAAAATTTATATTCTAGGACAAGTGCCAAGAATGTCATAGTAGAATACATTCCAAACTCAATAAAACCCTGGTGTCAACCAATAGTATAATACATGAATTGGGGGTCAGTCAGACAAAGGAGTGCTATACAGAAACAAAAGTAACAAAATTATCAACAATTTTTCTCAGTTTTAAATTATCTTCTTTTGGTATGTATGATAATATAGCATACCTATTCTTTATGTATTACTAAACAAAACAAAATAAAAAAGAAGAAAATTATGAGTAGTTAAGAATATAGCATAGCAGCAACATTTCTAGGAGAGGATGGGTTATGTTAGATTAATGAATATCATCTCTGTGTTTTCTGAAAGAATTTCCTGTTGAGATATAAGGGCCCATCTGACCATTGGATTGGTTTGAGCAGAGAACAAGACCAACCATGGAAATGGACAAACGGTACTGAATGGACAAGATTGTAAGTTCTGAAAAATATGGCAGTGATATTTGTATTTGAATTTACTTTGCATGAAACCTAAAGTGTTCTCTAGTTACATGCTTTAAAAATTCTAATTTTAATATTAGTTATAAAAGAAGGTGGTGCCAACTTGTATGTTGCAAAGGTTTCACAAGTTCCTCAAATTAGCCCAAAAGCTGTTGTGGTGAGGTAGACTGACTGTGAGCCTGGCTCCAGGTTTATCTATGTCATTTTTGAAGACTTTCATTTCAAAGCACACAATACAATATCTTTAAGTCTGTTCCTTATCTCCACAACAAAATTTATCTGTACTTGTCCTCCTGATCTCACAGTGTTGATGTGAGGAACAGAGATTATGATGTATCAGAGAAAGATTATGAGTGGCAGTAATTATATCTATTATTTAAAATAAGACAATAGTTTAAAAATTTTTAAATGGGTAAAGTTTGGCACTAGAAAATTTAATCTCAATTGTATATTCATAGAATCTTTAGATTAATAAAGAGGTTTGAGATAATGCTGTGAAAATTGGATTCCCAAAATTTGACTCAACGTTTGTCTGAGAGATGAGTTTTGAAAAGCTGCTTTATTATAATGCATTCATCAGTATTGGAAATATAACTGAGTATTTAATAAAAAAGGCCCCAGACTGGAAATTGGCAGGTTTGAAATGAGTTTTTTCTCATTAACTTTTGACCTTGGATAGGAAGATAAGTTTTAGAAATCAGAGAACATGTACATTTATACACTGTTTTATCTACACTGCCTAGCACAGGGTGACTGCTTCATAAATATTTGGAATTAACTTTTATTTCTTGTTTTACAATACTGAAGTAGTAAATTTTCTCTACCTATTTCTAGAAATGCGTTTTTGTTTGTTGTGTTTTTGAGAGATAGAGTCTCACTCTGTTACCCAGGCTGGAATGCAGTGATAGCATCATGGCTCACTGCAGCCTTGACTTCCTGGGCTCAAGTGTTCCTTCCAGCTCAGCCTCCTGAGTAACTGGAATTACAGGCATGTGACACTATGCTTGGCTATTTATTTAGCAGAGACGGGATCTCACTATATTGCCTTGGCTCATCTTAAACTCCTGAGCTCAAGTAATCCTCCCGCCTTGACCTTCCAAATGTTGGAATTACAAATGTGGGCCACCATGCCCAGCCTCTCAAAATATTTTAAGGATCAAATATATTGTTAAATAACCAGTTTTTGGAAACTGATCGTTACTTTAAAAAATGTAAAATATTATATGATTAAGGTTTAGCATGTTTTAACAATTAGCAAATCATATCATAGACCATAGTGATTCCAATGAGCAAAGAGGAAAAATTTATAATGCAAACTCTGATCTAAAATATCTGTGCCAGGCCATCTTAATTCAGCTGAATAGCACTGCAGTTTTAGTACTAAAACCACCAGGGAAGTAGGAGAAATAAAATCAAGCATGGTTTTTAGAAACAGGTGCTGAGTCTTCAGTTATTTAAGGAAGCAAAATACTGGGAAACTGTGTAAAGAAAAAAAGTGTCAGCCTTCTCCCGTAAGAAGCTGAAGCTTTGGATATAGTGGAAATAATATGCTTACAGACATGATACAAGTTTGATTCATGACTTTGCACTGTTCCTATAGGTGATTTATAACATCTTCTGCTAAGCAAAGCCCATTAACTAATTAATCACCAATACACAAGAAGAAAATCAGGACTTAAGCACACCACCACCATCACAACAAAATTGTCTGTAATAGTGCAGCCTTTCTTTACTTGCTCCCTTTCCAAAAGGAAGAAAATGGAACTAGGCGTAGCAGTCTCATGGGCCTGGTATAAATCCTGGTTTTACTTGCTATACATCCTTGAGGAATTCAGTTTCCTTGACTATAACAGAAGATAATTATTAAATGGTAATTATGAACATTAAAGAGATAATATGTATAATGCATATTACTTTTAGAGACTGAATTAATGTTAGTTTTCTCATTCCCTTATCTTCGTTCTCTCTGCTTTTGAAGAAATGTTTAGTGGCCAACTGATTCTGCTTCTGTTGCAGGTTTCCTATCATGGGAGGAGGAGAGTGTGCCTATTTGAATGACAAAGGTGCCAGTAGTGCCAGGTACTACACAGAGAGGAAGTGGATTTGTTCCAAACCAGACACATATGTCCAGATGATATAGCAAAGCCCCAACTAATCTTTAGAAGCACATTGGGACTGGTAACCCCATTTAAAAATGAGCAAAGAATTTATTTTATATACCAACAGGTATATGAAAATGTGCTTGATGTCAGTAATAACCAGGAAAATACAAATCAAAACCATAAGAAAATATTATCTGTTTTCACACTGCTAATATTATCTGTTCTCACACTGCTAATGACATACCCAAGACTGGGTAATTTATAAAGAAAAGAGGCTTACTTGACTCACAGTTTCACATGGCTGAAGAGGTCTTACAATCATGGCAGAAGGCAAATGAAAAGCAAAGCTATGTCTTATATGGTGGCAGGCAGGAGGACTTGTGCACAGGAATTCCCATTTATGAAACCATCAGATATCATGAGACAAGAACAGATGGAGAAAATTGCCCCCATGATGCAATTATCTCCTCCTGGCCCTGTCCTTGGCATGCGGGGATTACTACAATTCAAGGTGAAATTTTGGTGGGGACTCAACGAAACCCATATCAGATGGCTATATCAAAAGACAAGAAGTAACAAGCATTGGCGAGAGTGTGAAGAAAGGGGAATGCTTGTACACAGTTGGTGGGAACAGTTTGGTGCAGCCATTAGAGAAAACAACACGGAGGTTCCTAAAGAAATTAAAAAGAGAACTACCATATCAACCAGCAATCCCTTTTCCAGATATATACCCAAAGGAAATGAAATCTCTACCTCATAATGATATCTGTACTCCTGTTTATTATAACCCACTGTTATTCATAATAGCCAAGATATAGAACTAACTGAAGTGACAACAGATAAATGGATAAAGATACACACATATTATATATATTATAGAATATTATTCAGCCTTGTAAAAAGAAATCCTGTTATTTGAAACAACATGAATAAAACTATAGGGAATTATATTAAGTGAAATAAGCTAGACACAGAAAAAAGTTCCATAATCTCACTTATATGTGAAACTTAAAAAAAACCCAAATACATAGAAATAGAGTGGAATGGTGGTTACCAGAGATAAGAAAAATGGAGAGACACAGGTCAAAAGACACACAGTTGCAATTACAAAGGATGAGTATGTCTAAATATCTAATGTACAGCATAAGGACTATATCATCTTGCATTGTGTACTGAAAACCTGATGACAGTAGATTTTAGATGCTCTTACCACACACACACACGCAAACAGAAAGAAAGGTAAGTATGTGAGATGAAGCTTATGTTAATTAGATTAAGTGTAGTAATTACTTCACTACACATACATACATAAAAACATCACATTATGCACATTAAATATATACAATTAAAAAGAAGCACACTGGGAGATACATGATAAATTGCTATCTACAATTGCTATTTGCATTTTTAAAAGACATTTTTTATTTATTTTTTGATTTTAACTGACAAATAACTGTATATAATAATGGAATACAATGTGATGTTCTGATATATGTGTACACTATGGAATGATTAAATCGAGCTAATTAACATTTAATCATCTCACATATTTATCATTTTCTGTGGTAAGAACATTTGAAATTTATTCTCTTGGCAATTTTGAAAGATATCATATGCTATTTTTAACTACAGTCACTATGCTGTGCAATAGATCTCAGAAGCTTATTCCTCCTAACTGAATCCTGCTACCCTGTGACATATGGGGAAAATCTCCATATTTCCCACCCCTAGTCCCTGGTGGTTGAATACCCAATGGGGAGAAAAGTCTTTTCAATGAATGGTGTTAGGAAAATTGTATATTCATATGCAGAAGAATAAAATTGGACACTTATTTCACACCATATGTAAAAACCAACTGAAAATTGATTAAAAACTTAAACTGTAAAACTCCTAAAAGAAAACACAGGGAAAAAGGTCCACACTTGGTCTGGGCAATAATTTCTTGGATTTGACCTCTAAAGCAGATGCAACAACAGTGAAAATTTACAAATAAAACTGCAAAAAACAAAAAAATTTTCTTCACAGCAAAGGAAACAATAGAGTAAAGAGAAAACCTGCAGTTTGGGAGAAGATATTTCCTAACTATTGTTCAGGTTCAGAAATGGATACCCTAAAATATAGTGACTTGACAGGCAGAGATGATGAAGCCTCAAGGTCTCTCTGACCTCCTCCTCAACCCCTGTTTCTCAATCCTCTGTCCTTCCCAAAGCACAGAAGGAAGTTGGTTTCTGAAGTTCCTTTACCTGCCTTAATTTCAGACTCACCAAATAAGAAAACAGTTACTTCTGGTGCTTCCATGTGTTTTCATTAACTAAAGTCATATTGCAGGAAAAAAGACTGAAGTCTCTTAACACACATGGATAGATTTTTGTCACAAAACATTGCCTCCTCTGCAAGCCCAATACCAGGCCATTTGTATGATCTTCACCCCATTAAGTTCTCCTCAAATTATTTACTATCACCCCAAAATTATCCACACTTTCCCATCTCCCTTTCCCTTAAGATCAAGTGTATACAACCATCTATATCTACTGCATGGTGGGGTGATCACTCTGTGATTCTCTCCATGCACGGTAACAGATTTATATGTCATTTGTCCTATAAATCTGCCTTCTGTCAGTTGATTTTTAGCAAAACTTCAGAGGGGGAAAGAAGTTTTACTTTGGTCCCCAACTACCCATTCAACAAGGGGTTAATATTCAAACTATATAAGAAACTCAAACAACCCAAAAGCAAGAAAACAAATAACCTGATTAAAAAACAGGCAAAGCACCTGAATAGACCTTTCTCAAAAGAGGAAATACAAATGGCCAAATGATATAGAAAAAGAAAAAATGGTCACTATCACTTATCATTTAGGGAAATGCAAATTTAAACCACAATTAGATAGCACCTCACACCTTTTAGAATGTTTGCAGTCTCACCCATTCTGTTCTGAGGGAAAAAAATGAATATAAATTAAGTTTCATGTTATCTTTTCAAATGCAAGAATCTGTTCATTCAGTTTCTCTTTTAAATCTTTCTCTAATGTAATTGTTTACAATCCAGTGTTTCCATATTAAGATGTCTAGGTCAAGACTAGGGATTAAGTAACTCCAGATGACACAGCAACTGGTGATCTGAAACCTCAGCTGGTTCCTATTATGAGGTCCATGGCCTTTGGTTCCCTAGACTTACATATTCCTGTTCTCAGCAGAGCAGCTTAATAAAGACCCTGACATTCAGAGTGGGAACAAACTCAGGCCTACTATAAACAAATAGCAGCTGCCAGCTCTCACTAGCCAGTGAAACTCACATTTATTTAGTAAAGTGTAATTGACAAAGGCTTGATTTAACATCACTAGAGTTTAAAAGATTAAAGCATAGGTTTTGATGCCCAAAGCAAACACCATTAGTGGGTAATATCCCTGGTTGGCCTCCTCCTGAGAAGGCCATCTGGCTTAAAGGTTAGTTTTAAGAACACATGAGTAAACAAGTTATTTAGATAAAATTTCCCAGCATAACCTAGCTATTGGCTTTTTTATTTTTAATTAACTATATGTAAAGGGGATTTAGGCTGCCTTCAGCTGAAACTTTTACTGAAACTATGAAAAAAACCTTAGGCCTTCCAAAAGGGTTTGAGACTATATTTTATAACTTCCTCTACGATTTTTTCCTTAATATTTTTGCCACCACCCTGAGCAAATTCCCACAAAATGACGATTGTATTACACAGGCAAAAAACAGTATAAAAAAGAATCTGATTGTAATCTCAAAAACAAAAATTATTGTTGAATGTGCACACAACTGACAAATAGAAGAGTGAAGTAGCAGGGTAGGTTAAGATACCACTCAAAATGTAAAATGGAGAGATGAAGAGTTAACAAATATAAAGAGATTGAGCTATGGATAACTAATGGAAA